TCGCAGACTTTTTTGGTCACATCCATAGCGCATGTTTATTTTCCTAATTTTAAATATAAAAAATGTTTACAGAATCAGATAGATATTTTTCTAATCCCATAACTCTGTGGTTAGTTGTTTTGGAAAATATGAACAGATTTTAATATAATGTCAACATATAGTTTCCATGAGAATTTTTTCTTCAAGTTTTTCCTGCAAATGCAACATCCTAAACATCTGACGACAAATTTAAAGACTGTATTTAAGGATCACAGTGGAACCCCAAAATCCTAATTAACACCTCATACTAATTAATATAATTTTACATTTTTATATTACGCGTCATTATTCATACTTGCGCGTCATTAATAACCTTTAGATTTGTCAGAAGTATGATTAGAATTATTTAAAATACAATAGCACATATATAATGACATATTTCAGTATATATTAAAATCCCCAATTTTTTTAGAGCTTAGATAGGTAAAATGAGGCCAACATAACATAGTTGTTAACAGTCATTGTTGCTTTTTTATCCCCTTTCCTTAAAACATGTAAAGTTGGTTTTATATTTCACACAATCATAGAGTGACAACTTATGAAACTCTCCCGAAATTGTTTACCATGCAAGCATGACTTGAAAACAACATTAGTGCTATTTATTTGACTGTGAACAATGTTGTACTTTGATAGTCATTGGCTGCTAATATGATCTTAGTATTTAGGATTTGCAAAGTATACTTTTCTGAGGGTATATAAAACCAACTTTACCTCAATTCCTTCTTACACAAGCTGCAAAAGTTCATCACATCAGTTAATAAAATGTGTTTTAGTCTTTTACACTGATAAAACACTTTGACATAATACACCATTTCTGCATCAAAACAAGTACTCGGTCAGCTTCATTGAGGTTAAGTTGATTTTATATTTGCACATTCGTATAATGATAACTTGTTACAGACTTACAGTACATGCTGCCTATATTGTTTACCATGGCACTTTGAATATTCTGCTTGAAATCACAAGCAAGAAAGACTTGAAAACAACATTAAAACTATTTATTTGTCTGTGACCAATGTACTTTGATAGTCGTTGGCTGCTAATATGATTTCAGTACTTACAATTTCCAAAGAATACTTTTTTTAAATTATATTATTATTGAAGAGAAAGTGCAAACATACAACCAACTTTACCTCATTATCAGCTTCTAATAAAATCCACCACTAAAGTTTCATTAAACAACTAGAGGAAATCTGACACCTAGCTGTGAATATAATTCAGATCTTTATAAATAAATATATAACGTTATCAAATCTTACTGATTCAAACATCTAAACAATGAACCGTTAAAGGGAGAAATGAAACTGCCAGAATCACTTCTAAAGTTATCTCGACGATAACGTTTTAATATTACATTTAATATTCTCGTAAACACATTCGTTTATGAACAAACTCGAATATTTCGTCTTAATTTTGATAAATTGCTCCATTCTAACTGACATGGTATTACCATGTTTTTCTAACAGGTCTTATGCTAGCCGCTCACATTAGCGACTTTCCTCATAGTAATTAAACAACATGATCCCGGGTATCTAAATCTAACCAGATGAATCACATTATGGTTAAAGAAAAATAATGAATATATCATCAAACAATGAGTTCGACCCAATTCGTGCCAATTTAAACCCACCATAACCTCTTAACTACCACTAATCCTGTGGTAAGTTAAGCTTGCTTGCTAGCAGGCTATCCGCTTTCATATCAAGCAATGCGACGTGGACCAAGTCACAGCCAGCAGACAGACAGACACACTTACCCAGCTGATTCCTCTCAATAGAAACACAATACTATCAGTGGATTCCGTGGTTTTATATGGTTAGACTGTTAAAACACTTACCATGTGGAGCTGGTGTCAAAGCGTCGGTCACCTGATGATCAATAAACGATTCTAGGTTTCACGGTTGTATCGAAACATGTCATGTGTTGGACGAGGAAGCCCGTGACGTCACGAGTCTTCCCTCCTCCTCGCTGCCATCTGTGCGCGTTCAGGCTCATACACACAAACAGACGGGCACGCGCTCAAATACTGTACTGTCGTGATTATAAACTGCACATCTTTAAACTGTAGTACAGTTTTAGTGTGACAAATGAGAAAATTCATCATTCCACTATTATTTGGCACATTTTCTTTTAAAAACAGACGTGAGCAAGCGGCAACTTTCAGTCACGGAGGAGTATATTTTGTATAAAATTGATTGCTTAGTATATTTCTTTTTTAGTTATTTATAGTAATTTATTTATAGTTATTTAAGTAATTTAATTTAATTGATATATTCTTTAAATTGTGTGTTAAAACATAAACGTAATAATTAAAAATAAATTAGTAGTAGTTTTAAAAACATTTTATTATATATATATATATATATATATATATATATATATATATATATATATAACTTTGTAATAGTTATAGTTAATAACTAGTTTGATTATAAATAATAAATAAAATTAAATTAAGAAATTATTAAAACAAAAAACAAATTGGACAAATGTATAATAAAAAGGATTATAAAACGAGTTAATACATTTTAAATAAGTTTATAACAAGTAGAACTAACTAAAAACCTTCCAAATAATATTTTAGACTCATTAATAATGTTAATTATCCACAGTAACCTGTTAACTGTGTCTTTATACACAAAAAAGTTAATTTAGGCATGAAAGTGATTATATTTAATTTTTACATAGATATTAAAATATTTATTATTATGATTGTATAGATATAAAAATATATATATTTCCCATTTTCCTCCTTTCCATTGCCCTGGTGTCTCCTACATGTTGCATTTTTAATGCTAACCTCTAGATGGCAACCAATACAAATGAAGCAGTTGCGTTCTTATCACAACAGTCGCTCATTTAACCCTCAGCCCCATGAACGCTCAACCCTAATGCAACCTCAGAAGAAAAAAAAACTTTATTAAATCTGAAATCGCTGTAAATATATACATCAGATAACCGATACTGCGACAGAACACAGTGGGGGCGTGGCTGATCATGAATATTACGCAGAGAGGCGTGGCTTGGCTTCACCTGAGACTGTTCTGAGGAGCCGCATGTGCATGCAGCGCAGTACTCAGTGAGATCACTGGAGCAGAGGCATCATTAGCAGCACAACAGGGAATCTACGGAAACACAGTCACCCTGATGCTTACTTTTCCCCCTCAAATACTCAGGTAACGTAACTACAGAGTTACCACACATCTCTCAAATTGTGCATGTTATATCTGTGTAGTTTATAGTAGATATCTTTGCGCATAATCTACTGTAATGTATGCGGAGCTTGCTGGGATCTCCACGCAGGTGAAGGTGACTGGGAATGAGTGCCAGAAGTGTCCTTTAAAATACCGCAGTGGAGGATTTCAAACTAAAAATCTATCTATCTATCTATCTATCTATCTATCTATCTATCTATCTATCTATCTATCTATCTATCTATCTATCTATCTATCTATCTATCTAATCTATCATCTATCTATCTATCTATCTATCTATCTATCTATCTATCTATCTATCTATCTAGCAGATGTAAGCTTTGTGAAATGCTGTTTTCTTTTTGCATCCTTTATTTTCTAACACAAGTCTGATGCTATATGAGACCCAATTTGAGATCAGTTAATGCTATCCTTATTAGCCCCTATTAAGTAGTAATAAAACATACACTGACTACATTTATGAATACATTTAATATGTTTAGTTTAGCCAGAGTTTGGAGTATGTCTTTGGTTTATTTGATGTGCATGTGCAGGAGTATTGTTTATATATTTTTCTGATAATGCAATTAAAGTAAAATTGCATCTCTATGCCACAGGATGGCAGAAGGAGTGAATTTCATTTACTTCTGTGACTAAAGTAAGGGTTTAGACATTTATGATGAAAAATCATCTTCAAATCACTACTGAAAACTAAAATAATTAAGAAGAGCATTTCAATAGAATAATTTTACTGTGAGTTCAGTGAATCCTAATGGCACTTTCAATATTATTGCTTTGGTTGGAACAGTTATGTGCTGTCACAGACTTCCCACCAATCTAACTGGCATACTAACCTAAGCTGGTCCGTGGTCTCTGACAACAAAGCTGTGAAAACGTCTTCAGACACAGTGCCATTGTTGTCATTTGATTTAATTATCCCATCTAGGACAGATAATGACATCAAAGGGCTTCTTAATCTGGTCTCTAACACATTTAAAAAGTTTAGCGCTTTGTGAATAGTTAGTTCTTCCCATTACATCAAATGTAAATTTGTACATGTACCTCAATCTGATATGTGCATCTTTTGTAGGCAAATTGGTTAACATGTTTAATGGAATGGATTGTTGAATTATTTTGACATACATGATGTATAAAGCATAAATCAAATCAAGGTGTTTTTGGATGCAGTCATCATCAGTATTTATGAATGACACTGAAATTAGACTTGAAAATTCTCATTAGTACAAAATCTGTAAACTGTATTAAGTGCAGAATCAGTGAGATATGCCATAGAATCCCACATTTGGGTGATTGGAGGAGTTTCTTTACCATCTCTGAAAATGTCAGACTGGAAATGCTGGATTTATAATAGTTTTGCCTGTCAAATTAATCTGTACCTTAGTCATTTATGCTACTAACTGCAATATATATGGCATACTTTTTCAGCATGTGATGCACTGAATATGACGTTTTGCTATTCCAGATATAGGATTTGCATTAAAATGTTGGAATATATGAAACTATATGATATAAATAAAATGTTTATGTTCTTCAGTGTGCTCTATAGTGGCTGCATCTGCTGTATCTATATCCACTGCCCCCATATCCATTTCACATAATGGTGCTTCTAAACAACAAATGCATTTAAAGCCATGGCTCATAATATACAGAGAACTTTCTGTGACTCCAAGAGTTTTAAAATTAAATTTACTCATTATAAAGTAAGAAAATTTGCTTTTGCGGCAGTTCTCCAGAGCCAAAGAAAAGTGCATCCTCCACACAATACACATAGCCAGAAACAAGATTTTAAAATGATTGCCTGAACCGGCTGTGAGCAAGAAAATGCCTTGTATTGTTTTTGCTAAGTAATTCCTTCAATATTAATAACATTTATTGCCATATGTTGTGCTTGGACAGTGAAGGAAAAATGGTTTGTTGCCTTAAAGCAAAATGCAGTCTTTACTGTGTCATTTTTATAATATTACATTTTTTCTTAGTGGCTTTGGTGCATTCCCGACAACACTATTTACATTTGCACAACAGTTAATGCATTTCTCAAAACAATTAGTCATTTGTGCACATCACAATAGCGGTTTCTTATTCCTTCCAACAAATTGCAAATGCTTTTGGACATGCATCAATTTCTTTTATTCAACTCTCTGCTGTTTTAAAACATTATCATTTGCCTATGTCATGTCAGTCAAAATGAACCAAGTTAATGATGAAGAGTCATTTCATATAAAACGAATAGTCCTCATTTCATTACTTGAGTCAATGCACACAAAAATCTTGAACTAGTTGCCAAAATCTGTCAAGCTAATTTTATAAACATTTTAAAATATTTTTTTCCCTGAAAATGTCTTCTAATTTAAACAATTTCATGAATGATTTACAGACCTACAGTGTGTATGTTGTAGGTTAAGTTTTAATTTGTACTGCATATTGTTTACAGTTGTGCACAGCTCTACATAAAGAAAGTTTATGTTTGTTGTAAATAAGAGTGCACTTATTCTTTTGCACAATGCTGTGAAAAATGTGAAACATACATATTCAGTGTCTTGTACTCAGATACCTCACTAAATGCAGTGATGTCTCACTTTACTGTAGTTTTCAAATGGCTGTGCGAATAGTATATAGTGCTGTTTTGAGCATTTTCAGGACGTGTCACCAAAATCTGACTTTATTGCATTGGAAAAAAAAGTAAACTGTCATAATAGAAACATGACAAAGCCATTTGACTCTTGTGTTGATAAACAATGGTGTCAGGACTTTTCAGCTTGATGACACAGACACTTTCATTGACATGAATACTTTCATATTTGAGAAATGAGCTATCAATTTTAAGCAAGTGACACGCTTTTGCAGTTTATCAACTAGCTTTTGCAGTTTGTACTAATTGTTTTGAGAAGTGCATTAACTGTTGTGCAAATGTAAATAGTGTTGTGAAAAATGCACCAAACCCACTTAGAAAAACTGTAACCATTTATGCAAGTTGTATCGCTTTGAATCAACATTGTGCAATCGATGCATTCAATCTTTTACTGGTGATTTTTAATGTGCATTTTAACAGGAGGTGTGTTATAGATAGATTGTATTAACTGACTTCAAAATTAAGTCTCATATATCATCAGATTTGTGTATGAAAATAAAGGATGCAAAAAGATAACACAGCATTTTAGTGCAAAGCTTACATCCGCTAGATAGATGGATGGATAAGTGGATGGATGGATGGATGGATGGATGGATGGATGGATGGATGGATGGATGGATGGATGGATGGATGGATGGATGGATGAATAAGTGGATGGATAGATGGATGGATGGATGGATGGATGGATGGATGGATGAGTGGATGGATGGATGTTTGAATGGATGGATGGATTGATGGATAAGTAGATGAATGGATGGTTGAATGGATGGATGGATGGATGAATGGATGGAGGGATGGGATGGAAGAGCGGTTAGGTAGACACAAAAATTAGTGATAGATAGATAGATAGATAGATAGATAGATAGATAGATAGATAGATAGATAGATAGATAGATAGATAGATAGATAGATAGATAGATAGATAGATAGATAGATAGATGATGGATGGATGGATGGATGGATGGATGGATGGATGGATGGATGGATGGATGGATGGATGGATGAGTGATTAATACTGAAATGATTTTTAATGTGCGTTTTAACCGGATGTGTTCCCTGAGAAACAAATAAGCTTCTTCAACTTTTTCTTGCAAGCACCATGCTGTACAGCTACGAGAATGTTCATTTATTTGCACATTTGTATGTGACTGCCTCAGGTTTTTTCATATCTCTGTAAAGTTTGATTATAGCATTTGATACAGTAGACTTAGATTGCATTATGAACTGTTTAGTGGATGCGTTTGCACATGACGTGTTTTTTCATCAGCCCATCTGCTCTCGATCTGCATCTCAGGAAGCAAAAGACTTACTCATTTTTTTCTTGCCAATGCAGTGGGAAACCTTTGACTGAGCAAGGATGAGTTAGCAGCCCATGACTGCACTGCTGGAAGCGGGAGCCTGTTCTAGTGAATCAGCATCAATCGCACGACATCATTATCTTCAGTAGAGTTTCTGCCTGGATCCTAGCAGAACCATAGTGCATCACGTTGATCATGGGGCAAACCACAATGCTGAACTTAATTCTGGTGGGATACTTAATACCCGTCATTTGGTGCTTTCCATTTGGACCAGTCCTTGACATGGATGTCACCCCCAGGACTACTGTGCGTGTAAATGGTAAGGCTGTTTACGTGCAATTCAGAACTTAAATTAATTCAGATTCCAAAATGGAAGGACAAACAGATAGACTCTCAAGTTGGATGGATAGCTGGATAGATAGATAGATAGATAGATAGATAGATAGATAGATAGATAGATAGATAGATAGATAGATAGATAGATAGATAGATAGATAGATAGATAGATAGATAGATAGATAGATAGATAGATAGATAGATAGACGGACGGACGGACGGACGGACGGACGGACGGACGGACGGACGGACGGACGGACAGACGGACAGACAGACAGACAGACAGATAGATGATGGATGGATGGATGGATGGATGCATGGATGCATGGATGGATGCTTGGATGGATGTTTGGATGGATGGATGGATGGTTGGATAGGATGTTGAATGGGATGAAAGGATTGACAGATAAACACTAAAATTGTTAATAGATGAATAGATGAATGGATGGATAGATGGATAGATAGCAAGCAAACCAGTAAATGCTTCTTGTTGTCACACGAATTCCAAAGTTTTCAATCTTAAACTGAAAGAAAGCAGATTCAGTCACACCTGTCTTGAGTTACAGCGGTTTCCTACTCTCCATAGTCAGTAAAGGTAGCAGGTGTGTTTGCTTCATTCATGGGCTGTTCTCAATGCGTTTGACACTGTTTTCCTGTAGCGCTGGAGGCTGTGTCAGTTCTCTGGATATTATTAAACAGCCCTTCTCACTTGTCCTGTCCCAGTTCACGAGATTCACACAGCAGATGCTGTGAGAATTAAAAGTGAGGTTAGGTCACATTCACTCCTGTAAGGTTAGCCTGGACTTAGTGCTGATTTGAAAAATATCATATAGTGTAATGCCCTATAGCATATGCGTGCTATACATTATTCATTCATTTATTCATTCATTAATTATCCTTAGGCTTAGTTCCTTATTTATCAAGGGCCATCACAGCGTAATGAACCACCAACTAATCCAGAATATATTTTACTGGGAAACACCCATACACTCTCACATTTACACATACACTACGGCCAATTTAGTTTATCCAATTCACTTATACCTCATGTCTTTTGGACTGTGGGGTAAAAATGACCCCAAACATTTCAATTCTGTCAAGGATATATAACAACCAATACATATCCAATAAATGTGTCAGTAACCATTAAGATGGCTGAAAGAACTTGTGAGGCCTGTACAAAGACATCAATGCTCTTAAATCTGTCAAAGTGTGTTGTCTTTACGCCTTTGTGCAATAAATGGGTTTCCAATAACTGTAGGTGAACGCTAATAGCGGCTATTGATGGATAATGCCTTCAAATTGGAAAAAAGCCCAAGCTTTATTGAAAAGCTTAATGTTCTCTTGGAGTAGATTTGCCCTCTGGCTACACTGATGAAGATAAATGTGTATTTATCACCAAAGACTCACACCATTATTTAATCTTTTTTTGTTATTTCTGGTTGATTGGGGATGCTCAAATAAATACAGCAATGTTTGGCTAGTGCCATAGAGCCAGTGAATGCGTACAACTTACCCAACACTGCTTATTTGTCATAAGTTACAGATAACTTTCAATTGAAATTACAGAATGTTAAAACTACTTTTCTAATTACTATGTTTGAAATTTAACTTAATTTGACTCAATAGTAATTAAGTCATACAGGCTTTTAGCTTTTGTAAAAATATGCTCAAAACATTTGAAATCAAAACTAACCATATTGATTTTGCTAGCGTGTTTTCAGTTAAATTCTCAGATACCCAACATAGGCTCATTCTGAAAACGTAGCCCTTATACATTTAAATTTCTGGAGATCGCAAATTATGTAGCCAGAAGCACGTATGGCTGCATTTCATTTTGAAAACGAACGCTATGGGTGTGGGTGTTGGGGGTGGAGGGGGGTGGGGGGCGTGATGGGTACTGAAGATGAATGGATCCATCTGTTCCTTTACACGTATATCAGCTTACCACTTACCTTAGTATGTATGATTCTTCCGCTGTTATCGGTTGTTGGGCGTTGATCAATCGGTGCTTTTTAAAACACTATAGCTTGGGTTTAAGGAAGGAGGAGGGTGGGTCAGTCAGTCTTTTACTGTACGTTCACACTGAAAGCGGCGAGAGCGTCAAAGTAGCCGGAAGTCATACATTTTCAATGAGAGCCGGCGGCGATAAATGGCGAGGAGCAGCGCGGCGCATCTTTTCCGATGTGGGCGCCAAGGAGAGTTGAAATCAAGTCAACCTTATGGTAATGAGCTATGACGCGGTTCGGCGGCAAGCAATCAGAATGAAGACGTCTACCGCTTGATCGGAGTTCAGAGAACACAGACCTGTGAACTTTGGTTCCAACCACAGTTGTCCCCAAGGGTTTGATGATTGCAGTCGCCGGTTTTTCAATTATTTACAATGTTTTCTTACAGGAATATGCATTAAATAAGTTACTGGCGAGTTACTGATGTTCATTAATGTTATATAAATTTATCTTAAAAAAGAGGGAAACTCACACAACGTGAGAGTACAAAACAGTATTGCTGCTTCTGGATATTTCAGACATATGGACACATTGGATAAATAGAGCAAAGCCACACCACACGCAACTTGATCTTCCATTGTTAAATGAATTTGATAAGAAGTGCGCAACATTTTCACGCTAGAAACATGTTTTATGCAGGAATGTAACTGACATGCTGCAACAGCCATGAAACCCCCTCGTTTCAGCAGGGTGTTTTCACACCTCTACTTTGGAAAAAGTCAGAAAAGTGGGCGTGCCCAGCTCTGTTTAGGGGGGAGTGTCGGAGGAACTAAAGTGGGAGGGTGTAGGAGTGTCTATTTGGGCACGTAGTAGTTTCAGTCAAAATACACACAAGAGGAAGTGATGGTGTTTAACCTACATGGACATCTGTAGTCGAATTATTTGCCAACTTATTAAATGTTGGACTTTAACTGCAGTTTGGCTCTTTCATTCAGGGAATTCATTCATGCCCCTCGCAACAAACGAGATATTTGATTCGAGGACCTGCTCTAAGCGTGTATTTTTCATGCAATGTTTGATACCGCACGGCGAATGAGAGAAAAAAAAACTCTGCATTTCCCGGAAACTTAGATGCACACGGCAGGTAGCGTCAGAAAGCCGCGTGTGTTATTCCGGTCACAAAATGCGGTGCTAACATTTCTGCACTCAGTGCAATAGTTAACTTAATTCGATACGAACAAACTGAATAAACAAAGAGCACTGGTCGCTCACTTACCAAATCTGTAGAGACAGGACAATCCCTAGCAACTAGAGCCGCGTCTTTATGGAGAGAATACTACAAGCGAATCCAGATCTCAGCGTTTGCAGATGAGAACAGCTCTCAGGTAAACAATAATCCTCCTTAGACATGTAAGTTATTGTTGTCGAGCGTCGTACACTGTTAATCCACACGTGATCCAGATGAGCTCTCACAGAGAGAAAATGAAAACGAAACTTAACGGCAGCAAACTATAAAAGCAACACTCCATGCTTGTTTTGCCAACACAACGTGGCGTCTTTGTGGTGTAAACACGGTGACACTAATGAATATTAATGAAGTTGCACAATAGAGCGCGCTGATTGGTTTGAACTAAGCCTTACTCATGCATTAAAGTATCACACTGTAAGACGTAATAAGACTCACTCAGGCACAGACGCCCAGTCTGCACGCTGGAATACAACGCTATTATGTCATGACCGTGACGCAGCTTCAAAAATTCGTTTCAAACAGGAAGTACAAATTTGCATGAAATAACGCAAAAACAACCAATTTACACTTTTTAGTGAAATATAGGTGTCCTAATAGTGTTTTTAGCAGTGTGGGACACATATACGACTGTCAACAGCTCAAAAAATGTGTTTTGGTGTTTCGTGACCCTTTAAATAGGAGATCAATGTAGCGAGTTTTGACGCTCTTGCCGCCGGAGCTGAAGGCAGACAGCGTTGTCGCCAGGGTGGCCAGAGCAACCTTGGACGCTCTCGCCGCTTTCGGTGTGAACGTACGGTTAGTCATTTAGTCAGTCAAACAGTCAGTCGACACAGCGGCCTCTGGTGGATTTACGTGAGAACAGCAGGCATGAATGGTATTCGCGAGAGAAAATTCAACTGTCACCAGTTGAAACTAAACGAATGTGCAAATATAAAACTTAACTTTACCTCAATCTTAAGTGCTGCTAAAGTTTGCTGCTGCATAAAGGCTGATGGCTTTGTGTGGCTCATTTGTGCTCAGACACTGCAGGTCTTTTTCATGCAATATTGTCTCCATTATTGTATTTTTCTCCTTGCCCTGGTTGACTCAAGTCCTTGACCTATATTTGAGCTCTCTTGGGATGAGAGGGAGAGCTAGAGCATACAGAGAGAGAGAGAGATAGAGACGGGGGAGACATGCATGTAGGAGTGTTAAATCTGTGCTAAATCAAGCATGTGTTTCTGTATGGAGAGAATGTTCAAATTGGTGAATTCTGAATTAAAAAAAATTGGGAAGGTTTGAGGGTGAACCTTAGGTGCTAACTTGCTTTAATGGCTTGCTGTTGTTGTGTATTTAATTGTTTTCTTTTTGTCTTCTGACTTTTGGGTTCATGGTTGTCTGGTTTTTGTAGTGCTTAGCAGACCTGAAGTAATGCTGGTATGAAATATGTATACGTGTGTAATTCGTCTGGGGTAGTGGGACAAGGGGAAAAGTGCATTCAGGTCCTTGGTGATATGGTTTATCTCTGTCTGTCTGTTGAACATCTAAATACCTTGAGATGTTTTACTTCAATTTTAGTACGGTTGAAGATTATTATCCCGTCTGTGAGATTTCAATTCTTTTTTATTTGTATATATTTCTCAAGTGCACTTTTAAATACCATTGTGTATGTTATGTGCTATTTAAAACAATTCCAGAAAGAAATATAATAGTTAATACTGTGAAAAAAGTCCTTTCTCTTTTAAAAATTACTTGAATTACTTAATTATTAAAAAATATTTTCAAGTAATTTTTAAAAGAGCAAGG